AGGAGCGGGGCTGCTGCAGCGCCGGTGCCTGGGGCTGGGCAGGGAGCTCGGGCTGGACCGCGATGCCGTGTGTCGTAGCTGGGACCGCGATGCCATGTGTCCTAGCTGGGTGCGATGTGTCGTAGCAGGGTTTGAGGTGCCATATGCTGTAGCAGGGTGTGAGATGCCTGTCCGCACGCCGGTACGTGGGAAGGAAAGATGCGCAGCTCTGGCTGCAGGAGCACTCTCTGCCTTCTTGAGGAGAAAGCAGTTACATAGGATTTTGCGCTGTGTGCTTCCCCCTTTCTTTTCACGGCTGTACCTGTTTCTGCTTTCTGTCAGCCTGTGTTCTCCGTGCAAGGATGAAAAGTTACAGTCTTCATGTAAGTTAGCATTTTGGTTGCGTAAGGTTTAAAGGTGAGTAGTCTCAATCTCTGTGAGCTCTGAAGTACCACAGAAACTAGATCAGGTTCTGCTGCTGGTTGGTTTTAATTGTTGGTCTATTTAACCATGGATCCTGTACAGGGCATCTATTAAGCCATGATACTGCCTTAGCACTGGTGATACTGGAATGCTTTGATGCCATTTCTTTCTGAACCTCTCATGGTTAATGAATAACTTGCCCAATTTACTAATACTTGAGTTTTTCCTCAGTACTCATTTCTCTTGAATATTGATGCAAATCTTTTGATTTGCAACGTGTTGGGTGTCATCCTCTTTCTTTCATGATAAACTTTGATACCTTCAAAAACTTGTAAGGTACCTTTGATACCATTTGGTTCAGTCACATCTTACTTTGAAAGTACACGTATTCCTTTCAACAGAACTCTTTTTCTGGAATATATAGCATTACAGTATGTGCAAAGACCTCAGAAACTGGTGCTACATCAGAACCTTTCACTTCGTTATGAGTGCATGTGTAATTCATCACTTACACCATCTAGTAAGAGATCTCTTTGTATACTTTATTACCATGATATGTAAATTATGCCCCATTATAAGTAGTAATCTCTAAATTATGCTTGTCTTGTGTCCTCATTTCCTCTCTAAAACATTCTGTAATTTTCACTGTTCTTTATGCTGTGCTTCTAAAACCAACTGGGGGTGGCTAAAGGCAATGCTTTTGGTAGAGCCACCACAGGGCTAAGTGGCAAACGACCACAAAAAGCCCTTTTCACGTTTTCACATAGCTCAGCTTCTTCATTCTTGGGATTCCAGGGAACGATTCTGACATTGTAGGAGGTCATTTGGAGCATTCATTGGCATCTAAAAGTATCAAACATGTAACATTCTAAGTTCACATCCAGGTTGGTGTTTAGTTCTATGAAGAACTACACTTTAAACTGCCATTCTTCTGGTCTATATTCAGATAATCTTAACATCAAAGTAATCTCTTGCTATGGAAATAATATTCAGTATCTCTCATTTTTTCCAAAGAGGCAATTGCTAACATTTTGGAATTTTTATGTTATAGAAGTTTAAACACCGTGTTTTCTGTGGTTTTGTAGACAGCCAGGGCAAGGATTTTATGGAGCATTGAGTTCACTGAAGTATCTCTTGAAATATGACCAGTTCCTGGTGAATTTATAAGAGCCCTGGGACTGGTATCACAGCAGCAGCAATGTAAGCTCTACTGCAGAAGCTATTTCTAGGAATGAAAAGGCTTGTCAGGTTCCCACCTCCCTTGGAAAGGAATGCAATTAACATTGATGAGTTGAGGCTAGGTCTGAGATCATCTCTGTTGTGACTGGCAGCTGCAATATATGTATTTGTCCATCAAGAACTGGATGGAAGAGCATTAATTGGTTCTGAAAAGGTGTTGGTGACTTTGGGTCACTACCAGCCTTTATAATGTTAGGAATCTGACCTTAAAGATAATGGTTCCATAGTTATTTGCCAATCGTGAACCATCTGTGCCTCCCAGATGCCTTTTCAGCATCAACCTACTGATTAATATAACTCAGAGTAATATACTGGCATATTTTGTACCATAAAATGCAAAAGAAAGAAGGTGCATATTCTGTGTTGTACTTTTGCTTGCTGATAAATGTCACTTTGTGAAAATGGAGGTGTGAAAACTTATGTTGATGATTGCTGAAATTGAATGTATTGCCAATTTGAATGTGTATTACACCAACAACAGCCATATTTTCTATACTTAAGACTGGCTACCATTTTTCCCTTGCTTGCCATAATTATCAACTTTAGTCATTCCACCGAAGGCAAAAATCTATATTTGTTATTTAAGGTGTCTGTCACACAAATATGAACCATTCCAAGTAGCACAAGTTTTTGATGTTTTGTATTGGCCTCGATTATTAGTTCAACATTTAATCAGGGAGGATAATAATTACAACTATCTCAGTTCTAGATGTTGTGTTCTTAGCAATTCACTTAGCAATGATTTAGGTATTGAAATTAAGCAACTCAAGAATAGTGCTGAAGGGCATTTTAGCCCTCGGGATTTACTACTGTTGAGGGAAGGATTAGTTAGGGAAGATTTATTAGAAGAACTACGGCTGCCTGAATTTCTGAAGCAGGAGGTTTAAACAAACAAACAAACCCAAAACAAATACAAACGAAAACCCAAACCACAACAGTTTGTGGTCAAAACATCCTGGAGAACACTTTACTGGGAAGGTCAATAGATGCTCTTACAGGACTCTGAGCAAAATAGCTCTGAAGCCACAAGTTACAAACTGTAAGGAGAATAGTGATATTTCTGTTCTGCCCTACATATTTTCCAGTTCCTGAACATTAGCAAATTCATTTTTAGCTTTCAAAAATATTTAGCCTTACACCTTTTGACTGGGCTGAACTGACCCTAATGAGCATAGATGCTTTGCTACTTACTAGGTGCTGTAATTTGACTGTTACATTGTTACTACGTTATGCAGTTTCAAATATATTTCAATTAAACCTGGACTTTAATCAACTCGTACTGCACATTTTTGTTTTAGGTTTTTATTTATTAAGAAATATTGGCGAGTACAGAACTGGATTTTTTTTTTTTTAAATGAAATTTTTTGTGTAAGGTGACGGGAGTAGAAATGGTCTATTGTTTAATATGACAACGGTGAGCATATACTTTGTTTATACAAAAAATCAAACAGTAATTTGAAGAATGATTGAATTGGGGTCTTTCATCTCTGTTTTCTTCCTTTTGTACTTATTCCTATGACCTGGAACATCTTAAGATGCCTGACTAATGCTAAAATGTGTCCAGTTGTTCATCTGCTGCATGTGGACAGTGGCATTTGTCATTTGCTGAATGCTTGATGGAAGCAAATTATTTTGACTGACATAGTTTTATTCAGTTAAGGCAATTGTAAAAAGATCTGTGGGCAAGTCTGATATTTTTACACAGGAGTGATGCCCTTAAAACAGTGTTCATCTGTCCTCAAAAGAATTGATGGAGTCGTAGCTCAGAGTGAACCTGTAAATGCCCATAGGGATGTCTTAGTTTCTTAGCAAAATACATGTTTTGTTTTTTCAGGTTTTCTATAAGGAAAACTTTTTCATCTGTTTTAGAAGGCCACATCATTGTCTTGGTAGGAAAATAGAAGACTTTTGCAAGTGTTGTAGCATATTTAGCACAGTGACTTGTCAACAGCATCTTGCTGATATTTCTAGAGCTGTCTAATTGATTAAAAAGATAGACTTTCAAGGATTTCTCCATCAAATCTCAAGCTCTTCAGTGAGCGTGCTGTGATTAAAATATAAATGTCATTCAGAGTAATTGGATATCTCCCCTATAGCACAGTCTCATTAGCAGCTTCCCTTGGGAATAAATGTTTATCTGCAGGCTAACATACATTTATATAACACACGTGAGTGTACAGTACTGCCTAATGCTGACATCTCTTGTGTGTGTGCTGTGTTCCGACTCTGGTTTCAGTAAAGAAACGGTGATTCTGTGCATCTTGGGTTTCTTACAAGTTTACAGTATTAAGATTTTAATCAAGTTATGAATATACATTAAATGATTTAGCATGGAAAGCTCTTTCAAGTAGCTTTCTTTGCCATGGGTGGTGATCCTCTGGATATTATGCGTATGTTGCATTCATAAATGATACTATGTATTGTCTTGTTAACACAGACGGAAAATCAATTAGCTGAGGAAATTCCCCAGTGCTGCAGTTCCGCTTTGCTCTTCTCACGGTCGACGCTTGCCTTTTCTCTGTCCTGTCTACTGGATTTTTGAGGACAGACTGAGCTGAGAATCACGAGCAGCTGGAGATCTGTAGGTAATATAAGCAAAATGGTATTGAGAAGAAATCGCCAGTCCGAGGCATTAAGATTTATTTCCTCATGCTGACACAAACACTGCCAAGTCACACAAATCAGCTGGACCGAGATTTCAAAGCACCTTTTAAGCCTAGGCTCTCTAGCCGAATGTTTTAAGGCGAAGTAGGTATTTGGCCACATGCGCTCCTTAATCTTTTTGTGTCCTACATTCTCGACCTGAGTATCCCGGAATTCTGACTTTGTTTGGAACCTGGATTTTGGCTTCTGATCTGAAAAGTCTTGGACTTTGTTCCTCTGTACCCTAACTTCTCATCAAGAAATTGAGAGTAATACTTTTTTTTTTTTTTTTTCCCCCACCTTTTGTTTATTTAATCGATAAATTCTTTGTTGTAAGGTATGTGGACAGTAGCCAAACTTGCTGGATATGCTTGGAGCTTTTTCAGTGTGTTTCAAAAATAGTAATAGTAGTAAGAAGTGAGAACATCAACATGTTTGATTACTAACATGTTTAAAAATAGGTACTGTTTTGTAATCGGTTTGTTCTTTTAATATCATTTAAACCATAATTTAGATGATATTAAAATCAGGGAAAGATTTAGTTTTGTGGCCCAGGTTGAAGTCTAGTTCACTGAATAGGGTTAATGAACAGTTAAGACCTGCTATAAAAAAGAAGACCTCAGCCTCTCTGGTGCTTAGGATCTGAGAACATCTATCAAAGGTTACATATTGAGCTCGGGTGGCAAGCAACAGACTTGTTCCAGTGCTCAGCAGTCTGTTACACCTTTGAAGTGATGGAAGAATTAGAATGCCATGGAGCTCCTGTAACTCACTGAATGCAGCTGATATATCACAAAGTAGCCTGAATTTTAACTTTGCTCAGCTCTGTGTCCTTGAGAGGTAACTGTAAAAACAAAAGGCCATAAATACCTATTATACCTGGTGTAATATGGAGCA